AGAACCACCCATTCCCCTGCAAACACCACCACGCCACCTCCATGGATCTCGCTCGTTCTCCATGGATCTCACTGGGGTAGAGGAGAGGGCCACCGAATCCACGGACGTTGGGCGCTCCTAGTATGTGAGGATGCCGGGGTGGGGGAAGAGGCACCGCCGGAGTGGGGGAAAGAGGCGCCGGGTGGTAGAGGAGGACGTCGAGGTGGGGGAAGGAGCTGTCGGGGTGGGAGGAGCGCGTACGCCGGGGTGGGTGAGGGCGCTGCCACCGGCTAGGGAAGCTGCCATGGCCGCATCGTCGGGGTGGGGCAGGGTGCGAGTGCGGAAGGGATAAGAATGGGGAGGGGCGTGAGCGCGTGCGGGAGTGAGCGGTGGGAGGCGTCCGTCCGTCCGGACGTCCTAATCTTATCATTATCGCTTTTTAATGCCTTTTTATCTAAATTGTAAGTCGTTTTGATTTTTATAGATACAATTATTCTTTTATATACACATAAATTACACCATGTATAGATATTATATATTAAAAATATAAATATAGAAAATCAAAATAACTTGTAATCAGGGGCGGAGCCAGCTAGCTGGCTAGCTTTGGCGGCCTGTCATACCTCAAATATGTAGAAAATACCAAATATATATAATATATATACATGATATACGTTAAAAATAAATGTTGATCTGTTGTATCTTGTGGCTGGGCTAGTGATGGGCCTATATAGCAATTAGCAAACCCAACAGAAAGAAGCTAATCTCTTCTAAAAAAAACAGAAAGAAAGAAAAAAAAACTAATCTGTCCGGCAACCACTAGCATGATACATCCGATTCTTTTTCCTCCCTAAATCTGATCAATAGACTACTCCGTCTGTTCGTATCCTGAAATCCGATCACTCCACAATGGTTTCATAAAAAAAAACAAATCCACAATGGCATCAAAGAGGAGTAAATATTGGTGATGAAAGGTATTTTTTTACCTTTGAATTCTAACTAGTCTACTTTTCATATTAATTAATTTACCTAGGAATTTTGTAAAAAATAATTTATAGATTTATTTGAAGAGCATTTTTGCTAAAACAACTCGGTCCGTCTGTAATATATAAATTATATAACATTTTATTGTACATGTTTGATCTTTGTAAACCTTGCCACACTTAAAAAATATTCCTGCCTCCCCATCACTACTTGTAGTTTGGAGCAGAGGAAGTACATGTCGTCGAATACCACTTTTTTTTGTTTCCCAACAAATTTATATATCACCAAGTTTTTCGGTTTCACCCTTTGGGGAGTCATGAGATAATTTTGTTTGTTTATCTAGGGTGTGTTTGGTACCACTTCAGTCACCGCTATGGAAGTTGTTTCACCATGCCATCAACCAAACGCTCCGTGATGCCCTAGCTCCGAGTGTGAGACTCCTTGAAATGCGCTGACTAGAGCCACCACGGGTGAGAGGGAGAGCTTAAAATCTAGGTTCGCTCGGCTTCGTCCCCGGCCTGTCCCAAAATGTCCCTTTGTGTGTGTGGGCAACTTGAGCATGCACTACTACTACAAAAAAATTGTGTGACACTGCCCAAACATTAACAAACAGGGCGAGGTCGGTCAAAATCCAACCGCCTCGTAACATGCCTGACGATTTTTGAGGCGGACGTTTTCATTTACGAAGGCGGTCACAATTGACCGTATCGCAAAATGTATTTATGAAGGCAGACATTTTATTTACGGAGACGGTTAGGATTGCCCGTCTTGTAAAATCTATTTAAGGGGTGGTGGCAAAATGTTAGCAAACAAGCACAATCCTAATAAATGTAGCTTGCATGTCCAGGACAAAGTATTGCATAGTTTATGATGACTTAGACTGTATTGTATAAGGCACCATGAAAGTTAGGACAGGCACAAGAAACCAATCCAACCTTAGCCTTACTTCTACGTAATCCCTCTCTTAATTAAGGATAAATATAGCATTTCAAAAATGGAAATGAATATGCAAGGAGCATGCAACCACAAGTGACATGATACTCACCCCTTAGTCTAAATTTAGCATTAGCATCCATGGTTCCTAGCCACCACAATTCTCCACCACCTCCAAACACCACAACCTTCCCCCATCCTCCCCTCCTCCACCACTCCCGCCCACCCCTTCGCTCCACCACCTCCAAGACTCCCCCTTCACAGGCCGGCGTCGTCGGTGGTCGGAGAGATGGGGCAACAACGTACGTTGGTGTACAGCTTCGTGGCGCGAGGCATCACTGTGCTAGCAGACCACGCCGAGGTCTCTGGCAACTTTGCCTCCGTCGCTGCACAGTGCCTGCAGAAGCTCCCCGCCAACAACAATCGCTTCAACTACAACTGCGACGGGCACACATTCAACTACCACATTCATGATGGATTCAGTAATGCACCTAGTTCTTGTTTTACTCTCTCTTCGTGTGCTTATATGTCAATAAATGTGATCCTATTGTCTCTGCAACTTTTACTTGATGGTGATCATGGAGTGCATTGGAGAATTGAGGCATGCCTTTTTACAATTTTTTACTTGATAAATATAATGAAGAACCAAGTCAAGTGTTGCATTTTAGTGGGGGAAAGTGAATTTTAGATTATATCAACAATCACGTGACGATGTCTTTGATCTGCAGCATACTGCGTTGTTGCTACTGAATCAGCTGGGCGACAGCTTCCAATTGGATTTATTGAGAGAGTCAAAGAAGAATTTTCCAAGAAATATAGCGGAGGGAAAGCCAAAAGTGCTAATGCCAATGGCCTCAAGCGAGAATATGGGTACTTAATGGCCTCCTAATATGTTTCATTAACCTCCCTAGCTTTTTTTATATATGTCCTGTGTAACTTTTACTACCAATTGGAAGTTTTTTCTTTTAGGCCTAAACTTAAAGAGCACATGAAGTATTGTGACCAGCACCCGGAGGAGATTGACAAACTTGCAAAAGTGAAGGCTCAGGTCACAGAGGTCAAGGGAGTAATGATGCAAAACATCGAGAAGGTGGATCTGTCCTTTTACTATAGTGGTTACCAATTAGTAATCTTAAAGGGATTGATGAAGCTTTAGGAATCAACTATTTTCTTACTTTAATTTACTAACAACTTGATACTCAAATGGCTCTACATTGGTCATTAGGTACTAGATCGGGGTGAAAAAATTGAACTACTTGTCGATAAAACGGAGGATCTCCGATCACAGGTTCACCATATATATCATTGATCTCATATGGAATCCATTAGTTCCATCTATCTAGTTATCACCAGACTCATCGTTTTAATTTCGCATGTAGGCACAAGATTTCCGAAAACAGGGAACAAAGATACGACAAAAGATGTGGTGGGAGAATATGAAGATGAAGCTCATCGTTTTTGGCATCGTGGTTGCACTGATCCTCCTCATTGTCTTAACAGTTTGCAAGGACTTCAATTGCTGGTGATGTGAAATTATAGAGCCCATCTCACATGTTATGGCTATAGCCAAGATTTCCTTCAGTTTGATGTTGTTGTTCTTGCAGATAAGAAGGAAACACAAGAAAGGAAAGAACAAGAAAAACCATAGAGAGTGCATTTCCATCACAACGCAGGACCAAAATCCATCATCTGTGTGATGTTGTTGACATTGATCACATTGTTCTTAGTTATGTCTAGATCGTTGGGCTAAAAGTTATAACTGGGCTCTCTCGTATTTTAAATAATTGTAATAGTAGCATATATTGTTGTAAATCATGATTCGATAAGGTGATTATTCTATAATTTAGTGCAGAGCTTGTTGATGTACCCACTTCTAACTATGTTGGTGACACTTGAGTTTCCTTGATATCTTTGTAAGGTTTCTATTGTTATGGTCTTCACCTTAATCCTCCCACATCTCAACCCTTTCTCTCTCTCTCTAAGGTTTGTTGTCTCCTATCTTTAGGAGAGATGAGGAGGGAGTCAAGAGATCTTTCAAAAAAAACAAGGAAGAAGAGATGTGGCAGGAGATTTGCTACAGCTGCTACACACCTCTTATGTTGCAAAGTTTTAGGAATAGAGGAGAGAATAGGATATCTAGCTGAGTTGCTCTTAGCCCACCTGAACCAAAAATGGTGCCACAAAGGCTAACTAGCCCCAATGCTCTACTCGTTTGGAGTTGTTCTCGCTATGCCATCTCCACTTGAGAGACTATCTTTTTTTTCCTTAGGCCAAAAATATCCCGCTAAGAGATCGATGGGAAAATGAACTAATTTCTCTCTCAATCTCTCTCAATCCACGAGGAGGATAGGTGTACCCATACAAAACAAGTTGAATTTCTAACCTCACCAACATACATTGACTAAGGTGTTGTATGGATCTCAAGACATTTTGAGAATCCGGATAAAAAGAATCCCAATAGTTTTACTAGATTTTGAGATTTTAAAATTCCGTGAGCTAAATTCCTTGTAAAAATCTAGTCCTTTTGAATGAGAATCTAGGATTGTGGGATTTTTCTATTCGGATTCCTAAAACCCGGAGAATCCAAGCTAGAAAGAAAAAATCTCTCTATAAAGAAGCTAAGGCTGCATCAGTGCCGGATGGAGAGCATCTTAGAACATATAGATTCAAACGCCGTACCACTTTCTGATGACTAGCAGAGAAATGGGATGATGGTCCGGTTTGCACTTGGAACAAAGATATGTACGCATTACAAGCACATACGGAGTACACACGATTATGACATAAATATCCACACAAGCATGCATGCAAGCATCAAAATATCCACAGATGCATATATTGGGCGCGCAGTACACACACACACACACACTTAAACGCTTTACCTTTCTGCTGATGCTACTGCACACCATCTCATCAGCTCCACAGATTCACAAGGCACACACACTTGTGCGCTTTACCTTTCTGCTGATGATGCTACTGCTAGCGCCACGGAGTTCATCCAAAAGCTTGAGCTGGACAAGACTCGATGAGATGATATATGCATGGAGCTCGATCGGCACACACTCCCGGCCCTAAAAGATGCTGTTGCTACTGATCTATAGCTTCTAGCAAGCCATCTGCTCCTTGTAGACGACAGGCGAGATCTCCTCGAAGACGGGCAGCCTCCTGCTGCTGCTCTTCTTCCGGTACGGCACCGCCACGTCCAGGAGAGCCAACATCTGGTTCTCGACCCAGTCATCGTCGTCGCGCTCGCTCCCGCTGTCGTCCCGGCGGCGTCCGTTGTTGGCGCCGCCGCCCGGCCACGTCTGCGCCATGATCCGGGCCAGCAGCTCCTCCACTTTCCGGACGATCTTCCCGTCCTGCTGGTCGCGCGCCTGATTCCTCCCGGCGAGCACGTCGGCGAGGACGAGCTCGGCGTCGGCGAACCGGGTCTGCTCGATGAGGCAGAGCGCGAGATTGCACGCCTTGTTGGCGTCCGGGTCGATCATCTGCGCCTTCCGGTACACCACCTCCGCCGCCATGAAGTTGCGCTGCTGCATATACGCCCACGCGAGGTTGCCCTGCATGCATGTCCGGCGGCGAAGCTAGCTAGCGTCAGACAGATCGAATCATATGTAATGGCACGCACTGGCACTGGCACTGGAACTACCGGAAGTGAATGAACAATAAGCCGGCGGGGATCGAGACGCACCAGGACGCGCGAGGTCTCTTGCTTGACGGAGACGTGGATCTTGCGGCCGTGCGAGCGGGCGCGCTTGGTGGTCTTGCCATGGAACGCCTCGCCGAGGTAGATCTTGCGGAGCTTCTGCTTGAGCAGCTCGATCTCCTCCTTGGTCCGCCCGCTGGCCTTGTAGAGGTCGAGGAGGATGTTGTCCAGCGACTCCTGGGACTGCTTGGGGCACAGGTGCCGCAGCGACCTGATGGCGTCGATGGCCTCCGTCAGGTACCCGCGCTGCTTCATCACCACCGCCATGTCCTTGAGCGCGCTGTCCACCTTGTCGCCCGTGCTGATCGCCTTCCAGAACCACGCGATCGACGCGTCCAGGTCCTTCTCCACCAGCTTAATTATTCATTCAAATAAAGCTCATGTCAATTAGTACTTGATGTTAACAGTGATTATTTCGAGCTGCTCGCTCAGTTTCAAATTGCAAGTCGTTTTAGTTCTTTGTAGATTCATATTTTTGTGCTATGTATTCTAGATATAAATTATGTCTATACACACGTAACAAGGACTATATACCTAGAGAAGTCAGAACGAATTAGAATTTGGAACCGAGAGGTAGCTAAGCTAGCTATAGTTTTCACATGTCATACTGCTGTTTTGGTTGGATTGAAGGCATCTCTTATATAGTCTTAGACTCTTAGTGGAAACAAGCTTGCTCTTTCACCATTTTTGTTGCAAAAATGGACCCCAAATGACTTTGCTAAATTTTACTCGGGTAGGTAGTACAAAAGTCAGAAAGTGCCTATAGATCTCAAGGTATATATGTGATTATGTGTGTGACATTAAATTAATCACCAGATTCCAACTGTAATGAGTAATGAGGCCTATAATTAAACTAGACCAACCATGCGTTGACATCAAAGTGATAAACAAGCTAGCGCTACGCAAAAACAGAAAATGACAAACAAGTAAAAGGAAAATCCCATCTCACATATTCAACCGATATCGTATATATGAGCATGAGCTAACAGCTAAGGCCTAAGGATTGATATAGATCCTGGAAAGTGGAAACCAAGCAACTCAAAATCCTCCATAAGCAAGCATTGCCCATGCAGGAATCAAAATATATGGAGGCCGCTTCTACCTGGAAGTGCTTGGCCCTAGCGTAAGGCCCGTCGCCGGCCGGGATCTTGTGCGCGACGTGCGGCGAGGTGGGGCTCGCCGGCTGAGCGGCCATCGCCATGGCGACCAGCTGATCCATGCCTCCTCTTCCTACTAGCTCCTCCTCCAGCTGTCTAAGCTAATGATGAACCTCTCCCGGATCGATGCTTCGTCGCCGAAGACGTACAGTCAGACACCACGGCGAAGGCGAGGCGGAGGTGCCGTCCTTGTTTATAACCAGCAGCTACCCGCGACGTGCCGCGGCAGATGGTGTACCTGCCCGGGCTGCGCACAAGGCCGGGAACCCGTCCAGGTTCACTCCTCGCTTGAGAACTTGACCCAGCGTGGTCAGGCCGGGGCCTGCATACCTGGGCAAGTTCATCGGGCCGTGTCCAGTAGCTAGCCGGTTTTGCCCGACCCAGCGACCCCTTCGCGTCACGCAAGAGATGCAATTGCACGTCAGCACGTGGCACTGGAGACTGGAGTGGAGGGGATGGGGATCCAGTGTCCAATATCCATCGAGTCCATCATGATGGCCGCTGCCGGTGTCGTGTGGCGTCGTGGCGAGTGCCGGTGTGGGACGCCCGGCTCGTCAGCTTCCTCCGTGCGATACTGTGCCCACCCTCAGACAGCTCACCGCCTCACCGAGAATGATGTGGTTTCGATAAGGGACTGCAAAGAAGCTTTATCTATCGCCCCTCCAGAAATTCTTATGATGATAATAAAGCATATCTCACAGGCCTGATGATATTCAACACCAGAAATTCTTATGATTGACAATCAAGCATATCTCACCATGCTGATGAACAACTCAATAAAGAATGAGACAACACCGATCTTATCCCAACCAATTGAATCATCCCAATTTTAAATTTTTACATTATGGTTAAATTGATGTGAAACTGATAAATTGCCCTTTTTTCATTGTTGTGCATCCATGTCGAGTAATTCCTCCATTTCAAATTATGAGTTGTTTTGGTTTTTCTAGATACACGCTACCCCCTGCTACCCCTGTCTCAACGACACTTTGGCTACAAATCTAGACAAATATGTACAGATTCATAGCCAAAGTGTCATCAATTTTGAGACGAAGGTAGTATTCCCTCTATTTTTTCTATATCGAATTACCTTTGTCCTGCTGTCGCACCTTTGACCATTGATTTTAGAAAATCTATATGGGCTCATGACTTATGTTTTTATATTCACTATAACAAATACTCTATTTGTTCTAAATTATAAGATATTTTAGCTTTTTTAATATATTTCTTTTATTAGGTATATATAGACATAGTATATATCTAGGTGTATAACAAAAAACTATGTATCTAAAAAAGCCAAAGCGTATTGTAATTTAGAATGGAGAGAGTACTTTCATAATATATTTTTCATATGTTATGAAACTAAGGATTTTTTGAAATTGATGGTCAAAGATAATAATATTTGACTTAAGACAAAGCTAATGTGAGATAGAAATCTACAGCGGTAACCCCGGCAATATACAGGCGTTTCGTGTGTTGTTCCCACCGGACGACGACGTGGGTCAGCGCAAGCGGCGCCGCCGTCGATCGGCGGTTCGGGCATAGGCCTCCTAGCCGGCGCCGTAATTTAGGTTGATCATTGTCCAATGTAACAATATAACTTTCAGTACACTAGGAGGTTCTAAACATCTATGTAAAATTCTTCTGACCCCCTAGGACGCCGCGAAGGCATGTTGTATCAAATTGTTTTCTCTACCTTAATACATAAATGCGCAAACCTTTTGCGTGATCGAGAGAAAAAAAAAAGATACACTAGGATATACACCATGTCTAACTACACCGTAAAAACTATAAAGTTAGAAAAAGCTAAAAACGACTTACAAACTAATACGGAAAGAGTACTGGTAAAAACATAAACCTTGATTTATAGGTTCCTTTCAGGTTCAAAGTCACTACTGTGGTTATTGTTCCACTGAATTTTCTTATAAGTTGCAGTCTCAATAATCTCTGATAGTGTTTTTCTCTCGAACTTATCAACCTGGCTTATCAGTCACGATACAATATTTTTCTCTCATAATAAATCAACTCGGTTTAGCAACCATATAAACCGTGGCTCCTTATTATTCTGAGTATAAAAGACTTTGTTCCCTTCTTCCTCAAATCACTGCGAACTGAAGCGACGGTGGGGAAAAGGTGCCTCGCCCCTCAGCGGTACAGGATTGTTAGGTGCTAGGTCAATTCCACGTTCTTTTCACCTCCTGATTTTTTAAATAATGAAAGCTAGGTCAATTCCACATTCTTTTCACCTCCAGATGATTTTTAAATAATCCAGGAGAGTCCGTCTACTATATAACCATGTGTTTTATATAGTTTTAACATATTAATTTTTTTATACCATAGAATTAAGATCCAACAACCTCCACGTCTCTTCTACCACCAACCTCCACAAATCACATATAACTTTTTTTTTTTTATGGAACGGCAAATCACAGCCGAACGTTCGGCGCTGACAACTCGACGGAGATCGTTCGATCGATCAGGACAAATGTTCAGACCAACCACGCCGTATTCCACCGACGAGCTGCTGCTCTACTACTAGTAGACTACTACTGCACGACGCCGGAGCCGCAGCGCAAGATCTGCTCTGCTGGCATCAACGCCACGCCTACGCGTACGTGCCGCCAACTTTTGCTCAGCTATCATCAAGCAGCGATCGCGTACCTAGGAGAGAGAGAGAGATAAAAAAAAAATGTGTGTTTTTTTTTTTGCTAAACATGTGTTGTATAGCATTTTTGAATCCAGAAAGCCTAGTTCAATTCCAGATTATTTTCGCCTCCTGAATTTTAAATAATCGAGTACGTTTAAATAATCATTTTTAAATAATCAAGAAAATTTTAATAATCAAGAATATTGTAGTTTTAGGTTTACCAAGAATCTAATCAAATCCTTTGGGTGGAATTCTCAATTATAAGCAGTTCCAATCAGGGCCATAGAATCACTACAGTACAACAGATTCCCCAGTTTTTTCTGGAGCCAAACGACAATCAATTGGACGAAATTATCATCAAAATACAAAGGGCGGAAAAAGGCGTAGCTGGATACTGATAGACTATCAAAAATGCACTCTTAAATACAGGAAAGATGTCCCAGGGAAAACTGAACAACTCATGTCAAAATCCCACAGAATTGAAGCAATGGTACAGGCACCATTGGCGATTATACTAAAATCTGGGAGGACTAAGAAACAGCACTACGGCCATGGAAAATGTCCTTACCTTTTTTTTTTTTTTGGTTCTTTTCCAATGCCATACAGAACCGCATGAGCGGGTTGGCAAATCCAACCCTTGATCTAGTAGTTTTGGTTGCCCCGCCCGCGGCCGCCACCCATTCGTCCACGGCCTCGCACATAGCCCCTGCCGCCAGGGCCACCTGCACCTCTGCCACCTCGGTCATATCCAGGACCTGTAATAGTGCCACAAGTTTGTTCAAGGCTTTCACTGCACAACAAGAAAGGACCCCCCACAACCTTTTTCTTAATCTGAAGGGATAACCACCAATGAGATCATGATTAAAATACAAACACCAACCATGCTGCAATTCTACTTTTTTTAAGAACCTTCTTGCTACAGGATAGTCACCATCCAATCTAAGTTACTGCTTGGCAAATAATTTCCGTTATTAGGAACCAAGAAAGAGACAGCTACTGAAGAAAACAAACAGTCTTGATCCCCTATAATATTTATTACTTGATATACCCAAACAACAGTCATGGTCAGAAGGGCAAGTCAGTGAGGTGAGGTAACTCATGCAAAAATCTATAGAGCAAAGATTACTGAGACTGACAGAGTGACAGACTGTACATACCACCATAGCCCCAGTTGCCTCGTCCTCGGCCACCACCACCTCCTCTGTTCCGGTTGTAGTTCCAACCTCCATTTTCTGATACCAAAAATATTATCATCATACATGATTGTATAGAACCAACAAGATGAAACCAAGAAAAGCTAAATATATGAACTGAAGCAATCTGGAGGACTGAATTCCTGGCGAAGTGATTACAAATGCTTCAGCAATGTTGTTTAAAAGCTAAACATATAAACAAGCATTCATTTTAGTACATACCATAGCCTCCATATCCACCTTGGTTGTAACCATAACCACCATAACCACCTTGGTTGTGGCCATATCCTCCCTTGGTTCCATATCCACCTTGATGTCCATATCCACCTTGGTGTCCATACCCACCATAACCTCCTTGGTTATCATATTCGTATCCACCATAGCCTCCACCATACCCACCCCTGCTACCCCAGCCCCTTCCTCGCCCCCTGCCTCTACCTTGGCCACGTCCATATGAATCTTCAATACGATATAAACAGATTAGCACTTGATAAAAAAAAACAGAATCAATTTACTGACAGATTCTCACCTGTTTGAACAGGATTTTGTCTTGGCTGGTGCTGTTGATATTGCTGAGGTTGCTGGTATCTTTGTGGCTTAAGATCTAAATGCAGAGGAGCTTGATACCTGCAAAAGAACAAAAAAATATTACTTCCAAATAGAATAAATATTGCTGCACTCTAATAACCCAGCTAGGTATCAGTTGGTAAACTAAAAAAATGGCATCATAAAGGAAGCAAAATAAACAGAATACCCAGGTGAATTCTTGTTAAGCTCCTTAGGTGACAAGGAAATTGATATCATTGAAACATGACGCGTCGTCTCCAATCTGCAATCATACAACATAAATCAATAAAAATCAAATGGATGATCCAACAATATATCAACCAAAAAACCAGTGTTGTGAAACTCAAGAACTCAACGGTACAAGGCCTTCCTCAATGGGCTCCCATACATCAGTAATACTGACAGAACTGATTATTGTATCTTGATGCAAACCAGGAATCCTCTTCTGCAGTTCAGTAGAGATACGAATCACACAAAAGAGTATACAAGATGGTGACTAAAACTAGAGAATTTATGGAATTGGCAAACCAACCTTTATGATCTCAGCAATAGCCACTGTCTTGCTTATAGCCTGTCCCATAGCCTTCAACACAATTTCTTTCACCCGTTTTTCCTGATTTGAAAAGCTAATATAAGATAGATAATATGCATAAATTAGGTGACTACTATGGATGATACTGTACTTCAGATTTTATCTACTTATGCATAAATTGCAAATCAGATTTGTACAAGAACAAAATGATCACAAGTATTGTGTTATGGGCTGCTTGGCATTGTCATTCCCGAAATTGAGGTTGCAATCACACTTCTCGACAAATAAACATCAACATCGGTAACAGTTCCCATTGGCTACAACAGTTGTTTAATGTCTCAAGGAATTTAAGATGATGTCCATTGGATTACTGTGAAATACTGCAAACAAAAAAAATAAACAACTGTTCACATGAACCAACTGAATGCTCTATCTGAACTCAGGTGCAGTTTATCCTCTATGGGGCCATTTGGTACAGCTTCCCAAGCAACTTCGGGAGCTGTTTCTACGTCTCGCCCACCAAAGGGTCTCTGCGGGAATAGCTTTGGCCTTGAAGCTCCTGATATCGAGGTGACTGGAGCCGTATTGAGGGGGTGAAGCTGAAAAAACAAGCTTCGCCTGGCTCCAACCTCTATCCTTGCACACTCGTCCCTAGATGCCCCTCACTCGCACGCGTAGGGGTAGTCGGAGCGGGAAGTCCATAGATGACGGAGGTGCTGCGGAGTGGAGTCGCAGACGCCAGGCGGACGAAGGTGCGTCGAGCCAAGAGGGCGCTGGTGCGGGGCTGCCAAGGCACGGGGATGCCGTCACCAAGGCAGCACTGACGGGGCGCAGCTGCGTGAGGAGTCGCAAGGGCGAGGCTGCCGTGGCCACTCCACTCGTGCAGCACTCCAATTGGACGGGCCCCACCTCCGCCGCTCGTGCACTTGTACTGGAAGCGAAGGAGGAGAGAGAGAGACATGGACAGAGAGAAAGGAAGGGCCGAGAAGGGGATGAAATTGGATGGATGTTGTAGGAACGGTCCAAACGGATAGGGCCAATGTTTTCTTTTGAGGGAAACAGATAAGGGCAATGCAGTACTAGTATTCTTTTCCTCAAAAAATAATAGTATTCTTTAGTGATTGGACTATGATTAAACTTAAATTGCTAATTAAAGTCAAATAACTCGATCAAATAGAAAAGGGCACTATGGACATTCAACATCTTTCATCTATTCCAGAAAAAAAGAAGAAGCTATTTTGCCAAACGTTTTTCAGAATGGCCTCAAAAACAGAAGCTTGAGCCGAAGCTGTTTTTAGAGGAGCTAAAGCCCTGCCAAACAAGCCCTATGAGTTATCGTATAAAGGAGCTCCCATAGATCATGTGTTAGGTCCACACTGGATGCCATCCGAGAAGTTGAGATGAACTGAGGACAGTCAATGTCCAACACTGCACACAAATTGCAGACTCGTCATCAAGTATTTTCTGAGGCAAGAGGAGGTATGCTAAAAACTAAAGCAAAGAGGGCTGGGAAAGGACACAAATATGTAAGATATGGGGATGAGCAAGTGGTTGGACATAATGTCAAAATAACTAACAATATTTCCTATTTTGATTTGGATCTCACATCCTTTTGGCAAAAAATTGACAGTGGAGTTGTGGTAGATAACCTCTGTATGGTTAGCTTTGGAATGAACGGTTCAGATCAAGAAAAGTGTCAATCTTGACTGCACAACATGATATCAGGGGATATCCACCTTTATTGATTGATATGGGCAACAACCAGTCAACCACTAAATTCAATAACAATAGCTTGATGAACAGCAGACTATCAAAAGATGTGCTAATGGTTACACTGCAGGGCGCACTTCAATTGCACCAAAAAGGGCACATGCAATCAATTGTTGATACCAAACCTACAATACTTAACCAACACACTACGCACCAGTTGCAAAATCAAGCGTACCACATCACATACAACATCAGAATAGCTAAAACCTGGATAATAGTACTAGACCAGCATGACGGTACCATTGGGGAAAAAAACTGTCTCAGCTTCCTTATATCCTGAATAAATGGTCGACAAATCGTCACTCAATGCTACACGGTTCCAACCACCTTAGGGGTGTTTGGTTCCACCTCCTAAACTTTAATCGTTGTCCCATCGGATGTTTGGACACATGCATGCAGTATTAAATATAGACTATTTACGAAACTAAATGCACAGATTGAGACTGTTTTGCGAGACGAATTTTTTAAGCCTAATTAGTCCAGTGCTACAGTAAACATGTACTAATGACAAGTTAATTAGGCTTACTAAGACTGTCCACAGTGTGAGCGGTGCCGAAAAAAAATTCAGTCTGACACAGAGCACCGATGCCTCAACTCTCCAATTCTCACAGCGTGGGCACCGGTGCTTCACTGTGCTTGTGGACCCCGTCGTAGCGGCCGCGGAGGCAGAGGCGAACGAGGAATAATATTTTTTAACGTTTGAAGCACCGGTGAACGAACATGCATCGGTGCCCACTTTTTTTTCATCTCAGCACCCGTGGGCATCGGTGCTCCAAATAGGAGAGAGTGTTTGGGCACCGGTAAAAAGCAACGCTGTGGCTGGTCTAAATTCGTCTCGCGGATTACTAACGGATTCTGTAATTTATTTTTTTATTAGTATCCGAACACCCCATGCGACAACCCCCCCAAATGTGACACCTCCTTGGTCCCTAAATCCAAACACCCCCTTATATTCTGAATAAATGGTCGACTCATCACTGTGCACGGTTCCATAGCTCAAGTATGAATATATGCTCCGCCTTACCTTGCAAGAACTTCGAGGTTTTTATGTGATAAACACAATGGGGGAGCAAATCGCCGAACTGATGACAAACCGCACCAGAAGGACGTCGCCAGCAACTAGGCAACCATATAGGACACACCGTAATCCACCACGCCTACTCTAAAATCCGTATGCTCCGATCCGAAACCCTCACTCCTCAACACCGCAGGACTTCCGCGCTCAGCAATTATTGCCGCCTCCACACGCGGCAGCAAGATCTGGTCTGACGCACGGAGCCCAAGCAGAGCGATGTAGGAAGCGTGGGCGGGGTCGACAAGTCGTCCCAACAGCACAACGACTACCGGAAGAGCTCGGTACCTGGACGAGGGAGGTGGCGTAGGTGACGTAGTTGCGGATGAGGCCCTGAATGGTGATGCGGATCTCGTTCTCGCTGATGGCGGCGGCCTCGGGCCGCGGCTTCTCCACCCGATGGTACCGATCCATGGCGCTTTCCTCCGGCGACGCTCCCGGCGAGTCGGTGTAGGTGGCGGCGGCGGCGCTACGGTTGATGAAGGGGAAGAGACGGAAGGGGAGCTATTGGGCCGGGTAAAACCCTAGAAATAGTTGTAGTTAGGGTTTAACGGCATCCGCGGTGGCGGCTGCTCGGGTTGAGGGAGGGATCTGGCCGCGCAGGTGCCTGGAGATTCGCATTTTTTTTCTTTCAATATTATGGAATATTGTCATGCTTCTTTTTATTGATACTGTGGATTATTATAATGGCAGGATAACATATGGCCGCAACTTTTTTATGCCTTTGCTAGAGCCATGAGTGGCTTCAGCTAAGAGCTGGTACAGTTTTTTTTTCTTCACCTATTGCTGCTCCTCTGCGCACTATAGCAAAATGCCAGAATTGTGGGCTAAGTTGATTCTCCAATTTAAAATAATAGTGGGTGTGTAATGCAATATAAGAGGTATCTAACTTTGAGGACCAATAGTATAACATTGCGTGATTAAAACAAACGAAAATGCTCCTACAAGACGTCTAGCTTATTTTCTACGTGTCGTACGCTTTTTTTTAACTTGACCACAATCTATACAGCCTGCCAACGGCCCAACAGTCTTCACATTTCTCTCCCATGCCGCTGCTCGTCTACCTCACGCGGTTCCTGTCTCCCTGACGATGATGCGGCTGCTCGTCGCCCCGATGCGGCTGCTCGTCTCCTCGACGCCGTTGACCGCCTTACTCCCTCACTGCCTGTTTTCCTCCCTCACGGCCCCGCCCGCCCACGCCCATCCTTGTTCTTCCCTCACCGCTGCACACGCTCGCCTTCCTACCTTGCCTCCATGATAGCAAAGTGGATCTAAGTGGACACCTCTATGGTGAGGTGTTTCTCAGCTATGAAATCCTCCATGGTCAGGTGTCTCTCAACGACGAACTACACGCGGGAGGTGTGGCCTCACTGGCGACAAGCTCCTCCATGGTGTCCAGGCTCCTTCGCAGACAAACGCAACCGGATCTACACTCTACGATGGATTATGTTGTAGTATGTGATATGTTGCAACAGTCAATCTTCAGTGTTACATGTTTTATGGCACTCAGCATAAAATTGGGTTTTGCGGTGTTGCAATAGTCTATTTGAGATGTTGCAACATGTTTTTCTGGACGTTTCAATAGTCGATTTAAGATGTTGCACCATGTTTTTTTATGTTGCGGCTGTTGAATTAAGATGTTGCAACATGTGTTTTTGGATGTTGTAACAGTCGATTTGAGATGTTACAACATGTTCTTTTGAATGTTGCAACATGTTTTTTTTGGATGTTGCAACTGTCGATTTAAGATGTTGCAACATGTTTTTTTATGTTACATGAGGTTTCAGTATGTTGCAAACCTTTGTTCTTGAATGTTGCAAGCAATGATTAACATATGATCCATTTGTCTCTCTTTCCTTCTCCCTCACGTACGACAAGGTGCGATGTCTGCCAGCACTATAGGAAGTGCAACCACCATTATCGTGGTTTACTATTGCATCATAGGAGAAATGAGGGAGTCGGAAGGGGATGAGCGCTGGGGTGGGATGGGTAGAGCGAAAGCCTCTAGATTAGAAAGGGAAAGAGTGCAGCGGAAGACTCTGGATCCGAAAGGGAATGAGCGTCAGGGTGGGACGGGTAGAGCGGAAGAGTCCGAATCAATTGTTTATATCCGAACGTCCAGGCGCTAGTATTTTTCGTAAAACAAAAGGATAGGTCACCTATATCCTTACAACAGGCATAGGATCTCACGTTATCTCTCTTACTCTCTTCACTTCTGTTGTATCTTGGATTAGCAAAACTTTTGTCCTCTCAGACCCAAAACTTTTGTACATGCCAACGACTCTATTGTTGTAATATGATAGGCATATATACAAAACCTCTGATGGTGGTAGTTTAAACTAGGTGGTGGTTGGGACGGCGAGGCGACAATGGACATTTAGTTGTACAGTGCATGGGCAGAGGCGACCATCGTCGGCTTGGACAGAGTTTGACTAGGCGAGGGCTAACGATAGCGGTAGGGGCAAGTGCCTAGAAGGAAGAGTCAAGACGTTGGGGAGTGGTGGAAGGCACATCGGTACTTGAGGGCTTCGACGATGAGCCGAAGGGAGGTCCAGTGGAAGGTGGTGTACAAAAGCAGAGAGAGAAAAGAGAATCTTGAAGACGATGATAGGATCTACAAAGATATGTTATTATGATGAGAATAAATCATAGTTGTTGGATCATAGTCCCTCCTTAAAACATAATATCATTTTCACTTTTTGAGAAGTTAACCAGTCTTTACTTTAACCAAACATATATAAAAAATACTAATATTTATGATGCATAATAAGTTTCATTTAGCGAATAATAAAAATATTTTTATAATAAATCTATGAGGAGATAAAAATGTTGATATTATTATTTTTAGATTTGGTTAAACTTAACAAAGTTGACTTACTCCAAACCTAGGATGACCTTTTTTGACAGAGTGAATATGTATCATCGGCACAAAATACGGTCATTAATAGTGTTGGGATTTCACCCGAGTAGGCAATGGTTGTGCCCTCTCCTTCGTGAGTGTTGAAGCTGAACTGGCAACCGGCGAGAAGGTGGCCCGATGGTGTTTCCGTGGTCTGAATGTTATCGCAAAGGATTGGACGAAGTCCTCTCGAGCTCTCCTATGTCGTCTCTCTGCTATCTGTAGTGGTAGCCGAAATTACCTCTGATGGGCTTTTCAGAGAATGTGATGGGATTTTATCCCGAGTTCAATTAAAGCTCGGTGGGTTTTGTCATTAGAAACCGCTTCAGCATGGTGGTAGTCGCACGAGCAGGTTCGATAAATTGTTTGACAGCCCAGCATGTTGAAGCGACTGCTTGTTTGAAGGGACTAGAGCAGGCAACTGCATTAGGAATGGATTGTGTTATTTTGGAGACCGATGCAACTACTGCTGCTAAGGCTTTATTGGATCTAAGCGTGGATAGGTCGGGCGGTTGGTGATGGGAATTAAGATAGCCGAGATTAAAACTCAAATGTATTATGAGTTCTCTGCATGTATTATTTCTCGTGTATCCAGAGTTTGTAACGTTGTAGATGGTCCTCTGCTGTGGCAAGAGTGCAAGACCATGAACCAGACTCTGTATCTTCGTCGGTGTCCATCGATTTAGCTGCATCATGTGACTAATGGAACTCTGTTTTTCCTTCTCTCTCACTCTCAAGAAAAGTGAAGACACACGCGTTTTATGACTGGTAAAAGAAAAGAGTGAGAAGCTGCTGTTCTAACGCCATGTCGTGTCCAGTAGGCAGTAGTCGTTTGGCAGTATATTCAGTACCACCAGGACATGATTATTATTACGCAATCTAACATCGGCGAAGTTACAAAGCCATGCGCTTCTTCCTACCATCGTCGGTGTTTACAGGGACTACGCCGTCGTTGTCGGCTAGCTTCCTGTACTTGTCCTTCCTGGTGAGGCCGGTGCACTCGTACGACAGCGTGGAGGCTATAAGCTTCTGCACGTAGTTGGCTACCCAGTGGCTGGACTTGCCCCCGCCGCCGCAGGTGAGCTCGGGCGGCAGCCTGTCGAGGAACGTGACCGTGTACACGGGGCTCGGGTTCATGAAGAAGTAGAAGGGGTCCATCCCCTTCCACCCCCTCGCCGTCGTGCCGTGGAACATGCTCATCCGGCACTCCACCGCCACCGGCACGACGTCGTCGGTGAGCTCGGCGAAGAGCGCCGAGAACCGCAGCAGGAACGGCTCCCGGCACGTGGTCCCCTCGGGGCAGATGGCGAGGTCGCCCTCCTCGGTGAGCACGCGCCTGATGGTGGCCGCGTCGGCGGCGCGGTCGCGGGTGAGCCGCACGGTGCGGATCGGGGACAGGAACTCCGACAGGCGGGACAGCGAGTAGGTGACGGCGGCCACGGGCCGGCCCAGCGCCACGGAGAGGAAGATGGCGTCCAGGAGCGTGCGGTGGCAGCAGGCGAAGAGCACCCCCGTGCGTGCCGCGTTGCCGTCAGCGCGCGGCGGCGGCGGTGGCGCCCCCCGCACGACGACGCGCACGCCCAGCGCGTGGAACGCGACGTGGAGCCACCGCATCGGGACAAGCACCCCCGCGGCGACGCGGACGAGGGAGAGCAGGAGGCCGACGGGGAACCACAGCACGGTGAGGAGGACCACGAGCGGGGTCGGGCGCTGCACGAGGCGGCCGTCGTGGAAGACGACCCGCTTCGGCAGCTGGTCCGCGCGCACGGCCTCCACCGGCGTCCGCGGCACGAGGTAGGCCTCCTGCGTACTCAGAAAAAGTCATCTCAGAGTCTGTCAGTGTTAACTGATGCATGCTGGCTGCTGCATGCAACTCTCCTCAACTTGTCCGCTAACAAGTCACAACCAAAACATGTACGACCAACCTGTGTACAAAACCAAACACAACAAGGATGTAATGTAACGAATGGTTGTCATCATCTGATCACTTGATGTATGCGTGCTGCTCTCTACTTGGTAACATATGTTGACATGCGGCGTGAACGATCTTGTCCCTTGTCCTCCTTTTTAGTTTAGTTCTCTGGATCGGTAGATGCATAATTGCATATGCAACATGCGAAGAGAATGCTACTGATGAGATTGTTGGGTGGTGGTGGGTGTGTGTGTGTTTGGGGGGGGTGCAACCTGAATGACTCTCCTTTAGAGAATAGATTCTAGAAAGACTCTTGTACTGACCGGACGATACCTCTTGAATAATGCTAGTTCACAAAACCCTGAATATGAATTCAAAGTACGCAAAGTGATAACTTGCATGCATTGGTTATACATCAAATATTTTTATTAACATGCGACCTGCTGCTGGCAAATGTTCATGGAGATGTAGGCCCTGTTTGGCTGGGTGAAACGTTTCTGTTTCTCACGAAAAACACAAGAATTGGCTCCAAACATTTGTTGGACGGGATAGAGATTCAAAACAGAAACGTTTCACGTTTCCTTTGTTGGGGCTCGAAAAGCCGATAGAGTGGTTTCGCACGGTTTCGCTCCTTTTAGTAATATGAATCTAAACAGCCAACCAAACAGTTCTAGCAAGTGATTCTATTTTTGAGACAAACATTTCTCTATAGAATCTGGATTTGGAACGTTTCTTTTACAATTTGGATCCTTATCAAACAGACATGTAGTTTGGTCTCACAACCCCTCGGCGCAAACCTAATGAAGGGATCTTATTGTCGATTGACCAAGCGACTCTAATGCTATCATTGAGGATCAAGGGTGAAAGCAAGAATGGATTTCAGGGGGTGCTCATTTTTCTTCTTCTTCCTCTAGCCCCTCATTCCCCACTTCTTCATCTCCTTTTTCTTCTTTCTTTCCCTCCCTCCTATCTCTCTCTTAACTCCATAGCGCTCCGATGGGTAGGAGGGACTTGAGCTCCCAACTCATCACCATACGTATATATGAACTACGAAGTGTGGGTGGAAGAATTTTTTATCGATCCCTCTAGCGCAGGTGTACCTCTTGAATGCTTAACACTCTTGTTTTTTTTCACAAAAACCCATTATGAATTCAAGGCATGCAAAGTGAAGAGGTACTAGCGTTGCAGCATTGGCAATATGTTCCAAGTTTTTTGTTTGTTAATTAAGATTAAGATATGCGCGACCTTGCAGATGCTCATGAAGGCGTAATCCGATCTCCGGTGTCCGAGCCCGACATCGGGCATCTTCCCGGCGGCGAGCATCTCCCTCAGCGCCTGTGCCTTGCTCTCGCCGACGAGCACGCCACCGCGGCGCGCGTCGACCCACCCCGTGGCGCGTCCCCGCCACGCGGCGAGCTCCGTCCCCGCCACGGCGTCGGCGCCGAGGTACCCCCGGAGGAACGGCTCGGCCATGACCCGCGGCGCGGCGGTGAGCACCAGCCTTCTCCCGCCGCACGCGGAGAAGACCCGCCACGCGCCCGGGTGCACGTCGGCGGCGTAGAACCTGGGCAGCACGGCCCGCGCCGCGGACTCGATGTCGGCCACGCGCGCGCCCGCCGTGGCCGCGAACACCAGCACCCGCGCCCCCGCGGACTCCGACACCGCGCGGCGCAGCGCCGCGGCCAGCGGCGATAGGAGCAGGAGGAGCGCCAGGCGCGCCGCGCCGCCCGTCTCGAAGGCGACGAGCGCGTAGTAGGGGAAGGCGTCCGGGGACCGGAGCAGCGCGCCGTCCAGGTCCGCCACCACCGTGGAGCCCCGGCCGAGGCGGAACGCGTCGCACTTGTCCACGGACGGGAACGGCTCGGCCTCCCTGCCGCCCCACCACGCCATTGCATGCATGCGATGCTACCGCTGCTAGCCCGTGGAGTGGAGCTGCGTGCTCGCTCGGTTGCGTTGCGTTGCGTGGCGGCGGGAGCGAGTCGTGGAGGGGATTTATAGCGGCGCGCGACGTGCGTGGGTCGGCCGCGCGCGCGCTGGGTGCCAGGGTGGACGGGCGAAGCAAGTCGACTTCAGCATCCGGATCCTCCGAATCCCACCACCCTTCACCGCTCACCAACCGATCGGTTATTTTCACCTTCGCTTGATAGTTTCCGTCCCGATTGATACTATTTTATTGTAAGAGAAAAAATATTATATCATAACTGATAAGTATAGCTAAAATGTGTAGGACTCCATCTCCATTAGGCTCACGTGTTTTGGGGTCGCAGTACGGTCCGGGCGCTTCCATTTACGGGCCATGTACTGCTCATGGTCGCTTTCATGTACAGGGATTGTGAATCCGTTTGAAAATTACATAGTACATTGGTGCATGCCTGAATCAGGCATGTCCGCATGTGATCCGAATGGCTTCTGCACTTTCTGTGTTATTCAGTATGTTTGCTTGTTCGTTTTAGTCAGGATTTATCAGTTAATCAACAGTATTTTTCTCTTATAACAAATCAGTATTAGTCAAATTTATCAGTGCTGAACCCACCAGCGAATAGGACGAGTGACAAGCCAAGGCAAAACCCCGAGGCGTGCACGGAGAGCATTCATGGCATGGGGGGACTCGTCAGCTCCTGGTGGTTGGCCCGTGCGTTCTGGAACATGTGTTCGGGTTAGGCACAATATTACTAGTTGGCTACTAGACTCTACATTCCAACCGGCGCGAGCGGGCCTGTTTAGTTTCAGGCCATAGTTAGCCACACGCCCCTGTGCCGAGCCGAAGTTGTGGTGATGGTATTGGCCCCCTAAGCTGTGGCGAGATTTTTTGCTTCACTCAGTTGGAAAAGTGACGACGAGCCTAAAGTTTTTAATGAACCAAACACATGTGTCAGAACTGTGGCTGCCTTATCTTACCTGTGGCAACAAACAACACGCCTGGTAGCGTCAGGAAACAGAGACGGAGAAACAACGATACCAGCAGTGCGGCGGCAACTGCCGCTCACAGGTTCTGCCTGGTCGGTCTCACTCGGCTTACCTCCCAGTCCCAGGTCCAACCAGCTCCACAACGAAAGCAGGTTAGTTGCCGCGCGCGGCGTTTGCTTCCACGATCTGGTGTCGCTTTTCACCACCCACAAGCAACAACCACTGCCGCTTTCGAACAGCAATCTGGAACTAAAAATCTATCTATGCTGCATTGGAATGGAGCCTGCCCTGGTTGCCAGGAGCCAGGGGACGGACCCGGGCCTCGCGCTCTCTTCAATGCGGACGGCGACGCGGCCGCGCTGGGCTCGCCGGCGGTCGGTGTTGGGGCAAGTAGGCTACGCTATCAGAAAAGAGCTGGCCTGAATACACGATCGCCTCATCGACCTAACACACGCAGAGGGGGGCTGCTAGCGGACGGTAATCTCCACTCAATTAATTAGCACAGATAAAGGTCCACCTCATCCATGTCATCCACGTCTCTCAGCTTACACATGCACAAACTAAAAAAATTATAACTACTAAACTAAACATCCAAATTAAATTCCGATTACACCATTGGATTTCTTACAATGAATCTTTTAAAACAAGATCTCACATGGATATATTTAGATAAATTTTTATTAACGAACATTTATCTTACGAAGATAGAACATTTTTTTATTGAGCAGAGACGATGTTATAGATTCAGAGAATAATATTCCATCTTCGTAAGAAAATATTCTCGATTTATAAGAACAGTATTCTAGTTTTAGATTCATGATATTGGTATTATAATATACATAAAAAATAAATAATAATAAAATCGAGAGCAAAGTATAAAGAATAAAAATAAAAATACGTAATAGAGAAAATTTTAAAAAGAACATCATATGGATACTTTTCAAACATCCTAAAATATAGTATAGAATATCACATATATACTAAGTGAACATTACTAAATACACCGTAGAAACATCGCTAAATACATTATAAAACATCGCATATATATTACGTGAACGTCACTAAGTACATCATAAAACATCACATATATACCGTGCAAGCTGACAATGTATAGGATATGCAACGATTTGAGTCAATTCCGATGCAAATATAACATTTGATTGTCTCGCGGGAGGGGATAAATTATGTAGCACTTTAAGACCAAAAGAAACATGAAATTTAAGAGTATATAAAAAGTTTACAAATAGTGCCATATTCAGGACTGTCAAAGTAATAAGAATCTGTGCCGCGATGGACAATATATATTGTAACGTCAGGTTCTAAGCCTGCATATGTGGTAAAAAAGAAACCAAGAAATGTGCTGTAGTTTCCACTCCAAGCAATTGATCCCTGCGTACATATCGAAAAGCAGGTTTAGAACCTGATGTTAAAAGTAGAGGAAGGTAAAGCATTTTTGTCGGTGTTTCGGATCACTGGCTAGTAAATTTATATCTGCGCGTCTGGCTTGGATGGTGTGCTCGGAGGACATAAGGATTTATACTAATTCGGACGGAATGTCCATACGTCCAGTCTGTTGTTGCTCGTGTTACCAGCACTGGTCTGTAGTAGGGGTTACAAACGGGCGAGAGAGGAAGAAGGTCCCAAGTTTCTGGTGAAAAGATCGGATGAAGTTGAGCCTTGTTGAGCTCGTCGGCTTGTGCTCGTTAGTTGTCTCTCTCCCAGCCGTGTGCTCCTACTTCCCCTTTTAGAAGTGAAGGGGAAGACACAAGTTACATAGAGAGAAAAGCGAGGGAGAAGAAGGCCTCTAGGGCCGCCGCGTCCTTCTTCTCCTTCACGCGGGTCCCATCGACGTTGTAGATGGTGACAGGGATGACTCTGCGTCGGGCTCCTGTTCACCACTGGTGCCATGCCCCGACGTCATCAGCTGGTCGTGGCGTCCTATCTCGTCCCGGCGGACAGCGTGGCGAACTGACGTGCCCGTCAGCGGCCGTACGGGGAGTAGACAGCACAGCGACCACGCACCTATCACTATTGGCGATGTGAACCCCCGGGTGTGGCCTGACGTGGCCATGGGTCATGTCGAGACGTGCCTGCTTCCCGCCCGGTGTCAGAAGTTTGACCCCGGGGTCGTACCTTTCTGACCCGTAGTGGTTGGAGGCGGTATAGGTCCATGTCGGGCGAGACGGAGCCCGTGTCCTAGGGGTCGGGTGTAACACCTCTGGTGTTTTGACCTATCATTAAAATTTAACATGTCATCATATGCATTGTAAAGCATTCATAAAGTAGAAAATGTTGAATGCATTCACTAAATAAGCTTTATTTTATAATGTTGTTATTTTATGTGGTGTGATTCAAAACCCTAAATAAAGATCATGACCACAAGAGTCAAAATTCATGTGATCATGTGAGACCATGTGTTAATTGACTCAAATAACCCTAATGGGCCATGTTACTGGTCAAAAATCAAAGTTAAGTCAAAAGGTAAACAAATTAAATTTGAATTCAACTTCAAATTATAAAAGTCCTTTTTACCCCTTTTGTATATTTCAAAATCCATTTGAAATTTGGGTGTGTGATAAAAAGCAAAGTTGAAGCTTATTTTATAAGGATCAACTTTGGTATTCAAAGTTTTTAAAGTTTACATATAAAGTTTGGAGTAATTTTGAAATGATTCAAATGCTCAAATGCACCCCAAATTCAAATTTTAAAATGGAGGCAAAATTTGAAAATATTCCTTAAAGCAAAGTTGTAGAGTTTGAAAAGTTGAGCAACTTTTATTTTTGGAGATTTTCATCTTCTTTAGAAAATTTGAGAGTAATTTACAAAATGAACTCAGTGGCAAATCTGTAATTATTCGGAACAGTAGCACGACCACCGCCCCACCGCCGGCGTCCTTTCTCCGGTCTTCCAGGCGCGTCTGCGACCGCCCTTGGCTTCGCGCTGGCGCGGGGAGCACGCTGCGTGTCGATTCCGCGCGCTCCTGGCCGAGCTATAAGACCCAGACGTCGTCGTTGGCTTTTCTTTCTTTCCCTCTGTTTTCCCGACGCCGCCATCTCAACTCCGACGAGCTTCTCTCATCTTCCCAGTGCAAGATAGCCCCGGAAAAGCCGTGTCCTAGTTTCGCCTACTCCTTGCGCATTCGACCGAGCTGTTGCTATCGCTTGATTTCGTCGAGAGCTCGCTGTCCACGTTCATCTTCCTCGCGGCCGGCGACCTCGACCGAAACTCCGATTCACCGTGGCCAGCATCATCCGGTGAGTTGTTGCCCTTTCTTGTTGACTCTACGGCTTTGTCTCGATGCTGTAGTACTTATTCCACTCTTGCCTACTCGTTTTGCCCATTGCAGTCGCCGTAACGCCGTCGTCGACGAGGTCCGCTCCGCCGTGATCCTGGTCACCGTCGAAACGCGTCAACATAGCTCCTCCGGTCTCGCTCGTTGCTTCAACACATTCGGGGTGAGCCACTGATGCTCCCTGAACTCTCTGTTTCATCGTTACCGGCCTTGTTTCGCCGGCGTAACGCTGCCGTGCCACCGCGCCCGCCATGGCCGGCGTCAGCCTTGTTCCATGTCGTAATCAACCTCCAAACTACCATAGATCGATGCGCCTAGTTCTTGTGAACGTGTTGGTACTTTGGCCGTCGCTGTTGGGCTCACCGGCGGCGAGTTAGCGCCGGTCAGCGCCGTCGATGTCACGATCAATGACCGAGGATAGGGATGACATGTGGGGGCCGACTGTCAGTGAGAGAGAGAGAATAGTGTACTTTGATATTTTCTGATTTTGAATAGTGCTGAATCTTTGGAAATTTGTAGGAAAATAATCATAGCTCCAAAAATTCTGAAAATTTGTGTGTAGCTTCTGTACATGTTCTATTATGGTTTAAAAATTTGAAACTTGAAACTTGAATAAATTTTTAATGTTCAAAAATTCAGTCAATTAATTGATAAATGCAATTTCCATAATTTTTGTAGGTCACTGTATAGCTCCAAAAAT